CCCAAAACCCCAAAACCCCAAAACCCCAAAACCCCAAAACCCCAATCGTTCTTCCGTATAAAACCAAGACTAATAATAAAATATGAAATTTGAACTTTTGAAGCCACCTATTTTAGAGATTACTCATAGTTCTAGTCTACAAAAACCTCCTTGCCAGCTGGGATTTCGGCCTTCAGGCTCAGATCCCAGAGGCAGGAGACCTAGCCTAGAGGTACTTCTACTACTCCAAAGCTTGCCGAGAATAAGTGTCATTATTAGTAGAATATAAGGTGTATAAATTGATGGTAAAACTGTTGGATTATGAATTGAATTACTCTATGAGATCTTTCTCTTCAATGCCTATACTCTTACAAATTTGGAAAAGATTCTCTTTGATAAAGTCTATATCTTCTCTGAGGTCTTCCAAGTCTCTTTTGATTCTATCTGCGTCTGTCTCATTTTCGTAATTTCCTCTGATTGATCTTGAGATCGCCTGGAATTTGAGCAAGTATCCTCTGAAATTTCTTATTGCGCTAATATCACCAGGGGCAGCTCTTCTTTTCTTGTAAGCAGCAGTGATAACATTAACTGCTTCTTTCTTTAGGGCATCTTTGCTTTTGAGTCTTTGTAGAAGAATATAGGATTTCTCTTCTCCGTTTTCAAACAAGAGGAGATTGGTGAGCGTTACAACGAACAAGGACACAAAGGCAACACCCCAGAAAGCAATCAGGATACCTATGAAACGTCCAATATTTGACTTTGGGAAGAAATCACCATAACCGACAGTTGTCATCGTGATCAAGGTCACCCAGAAAGCGTTGTTGATAGAGTTAAAGTCTTGGCCAGAGGCTTCGCTTAACGGTCTCTCGAAAATTCTGAGAACAAATCCGAAGAGCCCGACACTCACTACGAGAGAAGTTAGCAGGACTGAGTATGGTTTCTTCTTCATCAAGGATTTTACTGAGAACATGAAATTAGCAGTTGTTCCACTCATATTACAGACTCTTTGGGATCTAGTGTTCATGAAATTTGAGAGGGTCAGAATGGCTCTGATAATCAGATAGGTTCTACAAAGACACATAACAAGCAGGAAAACATCATTTACTCTATATCTCACCTTCGTATCATAGTCTGAATATTTTTCGGAATAAGTTGTGTCCCAGATGAAAGGAAATGGGGTAATGCTGTTGATTACTATTTCAGTAAAGAAGTATTTATATAATCCAGTATTCATCAATGTGTCATATTTTGAATAGAATCCTTTTGATTTCTGCAGAGTGAGCACTAGAGTGTATCTTACAATAAGAGCAATGTAGATGCATATGGTTGAAAAGACACAGAAGCATTCTAATATTATTCTAAAAGTCTTTTCCTCATCAGAACCATCATTATAGGAAATTTCGTAATCAAAAATACCACAAAGGATTCCAAGTATAGCGAAGTTCAATGAAGAAATCTCTGCAACTTTGAGACGGACGAAGATCTCATTGATCCTTCTTTGGTCTAAAATATTGCCAGATTCTTCTTCACTATCGCTTTCATTATCATTTTTTCCTGCACTCATGAAGGCACTGGCTGCCATTTTGCCCAAAGCATTTTTACGGTCACTGCCTCCACCTGGGCCTCTGTTGTCGTGACTCTGTCTATTGAGGCCTGTAGTTGCTAACATTTTGTCGTTATTTATTATAATTTTAATAAGGTTAAAACAATTGAGTAAAATAAAGGGGTTTTGGGGTTTTGGGGTTTTGGGGTTTTGGGGTTTTGGGG